GATCAGCTGCCTCCTGCACACTCCCTACTGGAGATGTGCACGCAACCAAGGTACATGCCCTTGACCGGAATCGAACCAGGGACCTTTCAGTCCACAGGTTGATGCTCTATCCACTGAGCCAAACCGGTTAAGGCAATATAAGCATTTTTCAGTTAAACTGAGGCTTGGGGAGGCTTAAAAACTTGGACAAAATTCATACAGCTAGTGAGCGATAGGACAGGGCTGCTTAACAAATGTTGGTTTAAAGAAAACAAACTTAGAATGTAGTCCTTAAGGTGTGGAGCTTGATAATTAACAAGGCCAAAGTGCTACATGTCAAGGCTTCAGGAAACAAAGCAGCTGAAAACTGCCTCTTCTAGGACACAAGTGACTGTCTCTTCTAAGGCACAAGTGAGGAGATGAAAGATAGGGCAGAGGCAAGACAGGAGGGAGAAGAATCAAATCTTCTGAAGACTTGTCAAGAAAATTTAGAGGAGGTGAACCCAAATGATGTCACTTGGGGAGCCTACTGGGCCACTTTCAGAAGATGACAAATCTTCATATTTCTAAGCCCTGCAGCCACTAAGAACTCAGTACTTGTGAGTAAAGCCTGGGTTCACTAGGAAGCTACTCATTTCCTGTTTTTGACCAATTCTGTTCCTCTAAAGCCAGCTTAATGGTTCAGGACTCCCTTTACAGTGTAATTGCTTTGGTGTAGCCTGATTTAAAGTTGGATATGGTGCAAAGGGCCTTCGCTAATAGTCAAAAGACCAAGTGTAAGCCCAAGCCATAGTGTTCCTTAAAAGTTCTTTTCCCTTTCTGGGACACTGGTGACATGAAGAAAGGTAGACCAGATGACAGCTAACAACCCTCCCAACTTAGTCTGAGACATACAGTTTTCTGCAGTAGAAAAACCAAAGGAAGAGAAACACCATCACCCAGAATTTAATTAAGCTATTCTCTGGCTTTGTTTCCCTTACATACAAAATGGTGGCTGTGCAGGGAAAGGAATTAAATCATTTCTAATTCTTTCACCCTGAGCTCTAGGCTCAAGTTTTACCTATTTCACTTCTGAAACTTTATATAAGCTGCTCTCTCTGCCTGAAAAACTCCTCTTTTTCTCACTATCTTTCATTTTCCAGCTCCTACTCAACTTCAGGTCTCAGCTGATACTTCTCTTACACTAGGCATTCTCTGATCTCCCGAACAAGGGTAGGTGCCATCATCTATGCTCACAGTGCCCCTGTGCCATATTGTACTTGCCTAGTGCTTTGTTCCTTTCCCTGAGAACTGCCACTAGTGGAGGAGCAGTGGAGGAGATAAATGTTTTCCAAGAGTGGGGTCTTAACAATTTTTAAGGTAATATGTTGTAATCACAGTTAAGATTTTGATAAAAATATATTAGAAGAAGGAATGTGAAAGCAAGCCTGTATAATTCAGGACTTGGGTGAAACGGTATTTACTCACTCCCTTACAACCAGTGGCATAGGTATCACTCTCAGGTTACCCCTTGTTAGAATCTTTAGGTCTCTGTTCTTTCCCATTAGACTGCAAGTTCCATAAAGGCAGGCACCATATTGCTCATCATTGTATTCCTAGCATCCAGCACCATGCAAGACACATAGTAGGAATTCAATAAGTATTTGCTGTCTGTATAACTAACTGCATGAATAAATAAATGAATTGTGTCACCTCCGGTAGGTCCTTTTCCCTATTTGGGTCTCAGTTTCCTCATTGGTAAAATGAGGAGATGAGACATTATGAGTTATAAGGGCCCTTCCAGCTCTGAATTTGATGACAAGCTAGTTCTAATCCTTCTTCATCTGGCACTATGAGGTCTGTAGGCTATTTTTGGCAAAGATCTTAAATCCCTTTCGATGGAAGGTGTTAGTGAATATAAAATACTTATTAGGTTTGAAATGTATGCAGAGAAGTTTATCTTTTGTTCTATAACACAAGCACAGCCCTCTGAAGAAACAGAAAATTACCAAAATAATGGCATCTCAGACGATACAGCGAAATTATAAGCCTACCAATGTGGTCAGAGTGCTTATGAATCACAATCTTAATTTTTATTAGCTGTCTTGTTCTGTATACAGCTTAATTTTTGCTATTTAAAAAGGTATAATAGCCTAGCCAGAGTGGCTCAGTTGGTTGAGCATTGTCCTGTGCATCAAAAGGTTGTCAGTTCAATTCCCAATCAGGGCACATACCTAGGTTGTAGGTTCAATTCCCAGTCGGGTCACGTATGGAAGGTGACTGGTCAATGTTTCTCTCTCACATTGATATTTCTCTCACACATCAATGTTTCTGTCTCTCTCTTCCTTTCTCTATCTCAGGTATGTCCTGAGATGAGGATTTAGAAAGTTATAATAAATATATATGCACTGAAAACATGTTGGGTACCTAGCCCTATCCTGGGTACCATAAAAATAAAACATATCTGAGCCATGACATATGCCACAGACTACTTGAAAAATTAGGCAGAAATATAAAACAAGAATACAAGCAGGAGGAGGAGAGCAGAGGCTCACATACTTCAAGCAGACTTACTGAGTGGAATTTGAGCTAAGCCCACAGGAATAAATAGATTTTAGATAGATAGGGGACAGGCTAAAGAATTCCAGTAGAACAGAACATCTGACAGACATAGCTGGAAACAGTGTAGTATATTTAAGTTGGTATGTGGTATATTTAAGTTGGCCCAGAACAACCTTCCCCAAAATAATTCTGTGAATATTTGACCATTAGAAATTCATTCCTCTGAATAGCCTTTTTAGAAAATGCAAGCATACCTGGGCAAGTTAACGTACTGACCTATTATATACTTGAGCTTTGGAGTCAGATAGCCTGTGTTTGATTCCTAGCTTTGCCACTTCCTAGTTGTGTGATGTTGGGCAAAATTACTTAACCTCTTTGTCTTAGTCTGTTCAGGCTGCTATAACAAATTACCACAGACTGAGTAGCTTATAAGCAACAGAAATCTATTTCTCACAGTTCTGGAGGCTAGAAGTCTAAGCGCAGGGTGCCCATATGGTCAGGTTCTGGTGAAAGCCCACTCTCTGGTTGAGAGATGGCACCTTGCTGTGTCCTCACCTGGTGAAAGAGGCGAGGGAGCTCTCTAAGGCCTCTTTTATAAGAGCCCCGATCCCATTTATGAGTGCTTCATTCTCAGAATCTAATCATCTCCCAAAGTACCTCCTTGCTAATACTATCCCCTTGGGGGTTAGGATTTCAGCACAATAATTTTGGGAGGATACAAACATTCAGACCACAGCATTCTTTGAGTCTCAGTTTCTTATGAGAAGTACATGAGATAATAAGTGTAAATATTAACAACTTCACAAAAATTTTGATTGCTGTCTTCCCAACAGCTAAATGAGACAGAGCAGGTTGAAGGAATGGGATTTTTAGTAGGCGGAGACCCAATATAGGAAAATAATAATAGCAATACAAACATTTACATGGTGCTTATTATGTGCCAGCCAATATTCTAAGTAC